CGCGCAGATCTCCAAACGCGAGGTCCTGTGCACAGCCTTGAGCCGTGAAGAGACGCCGTTCACGGCCGCGCGCGGGCCGCTCGCCGCGAAGTCCTCGCACTGCAGGCCGCCGGTGTGCAGGTCGACTAGCGGGGCAACGAGTAAGCAGCACGCGCCTGCTCACGCCATGGGCGGTGAGGAGGAGCCGCTCACAGCCGACTCGTCGCCCGCCAGAAGCAGCAGGCGCAGTTAGCCGTGGGCACGGGGCACCTGCTCATGCAACAGCGACGGCTGTGAAGGTGCCCGCCCCTGATCTCGCTGGTGCCGGGTCTTTGGCCCCCGGCTTTGGGCCGCCGAGAAAGCGGGATAGAGCAGACAGGTGGGGCGGTCTGGGCGAGGCACCTGGGGTTAGGGGTAGGGTTAGGGTCAGGGCGAGGGCTACGGTTCGTCTGAGGGGCACAAGGAGGTGTGTTCTGCGGTTGCGGTCACCACGTGCGTCACGGAGGCGGCTGGCCCAGCCATGTTGCTGTACACGTCGATGGAGTGGCAGTCGTACTCGCTGCCCCCGCTCAATTCTGCCCACGGGGGGGGGGGGGGGGGGGCTCCGAGAGGTTTCGGGGAAGTGTCGCGGCCATGTCCTCTTCTCCTCCCGCGCGCGCGCCCATCCGCTGCACTGTCTCGATCGCGCCGCAAGACGGCTCGGCCGCGCAGTCTGCCTTGCACACCTGCTCACACACCGTTCTGCTGTGAATAGGAACGCGAGGCCTGAGTCGGAGTCGCCGACCAACGAGCGCGGCGGCCGAAGTAGCGCAGGCAGCAGCCGAGCTGGCGTCGAAACAAGTGGCAGCGGTAGAGGCTGAGGCAGAGGCAGCGGCAGCGGTTAAGTCCTTTTCCGGCCGCCTCCAGAGGAGCTGTCGCGTCACGTCTGAGCCGGCGCACGCGCCCTGCTTGCTGCTCCTGCGGCCTCCGCCCACGCCGTTCGGCGGCAGCCACTCTCCCATCGATGCGGAGACAGGCCCACGCAGGAGGGGGCGAGCGGTCGACGTGGCGGTGGGTGCGGGCGCCGGAGGCGGCGGCTCGGAAAGTGTATCCGAGCAGCAGCCTTGGCAATCGCACCCAAACAAACGGAGCGTCGCGCAGGTAGCCGTTTGGCTCATCTCTCCGCATGTGGCCTGTCCACAGGCTGTGCGACACGCCAGCGGCGGCGGCGGCGGCGGAGCGATCGACCTGCAGCAGCTGACACAGTAGCAATCGAACTCAACAGAATGAAGAGCGCTCAACCCGGCACACGTGGTGGCCTTGTAGAAGTCTCCGCACGTCTTGCCGAGGCAGGGAGAATGGCATCCACCGCTCATCGGCGCCGATGGCCGCGGAGGCGATGGCGGAGGAGGGAGAAGAGGCTGCCACCACGGTGGGGGCCGAGGTGGTGGTGGTGAGAGCCACATGCGGAGAGCCATGGACAGAGAACAGACAGAGCAGCAGCAGCAGACAGGAACAGCCACAGCCACAGCCACGCTACAAGAGGCACAGCAGGATTCGAGGTGTTCTGGGGGGTAGGGTAAACTCGCGCGGCGCATAGACTTTTGTTTTTCCGGCTTTCTTTCTTTTTAGCTTCACAAGTGCGCTACAGACGCGCCTGAAAAATACAACCCCTGCTCAATGTGTCTCTCCTAACAAACAACACGCTACTCTCGTGCCTTCCCTACTCGCGTCTCGTTCCTACATCCTAGTGCCCTTAGAACTCGCCCTGCGCATCTCAATTCGGCACGAGCGTGCACCGAGCGACGGCAGTGGCGCCAGCCACGGCGAGGCTCATCATAACCGTGCACGCCGTACGCCGACCCCAGATGGCCGTCGAGAGCCATGCGCCCCCCTCTTTGACGACCCGGAGCTGACTGTGATGCCCAAGCACGAGCTGATGCATAAGCTCGAGCTCGGCTTCAACGAGATCGGCGAGGAGGGCGGTGCAGCGCTCACTCACGCGCTCAAGGTCAACTCGGTGGCCGGGCGTTCTTGCTGGCCACCAAAGTACACGTAGAGCGTACCAAGGGCTGAATGAAACTTGTCGGCACGAAAAAGAAAGAAACGCCCACCCTAATCCCTATCCCTAACCCTTGGTCGTCTGCCTCTTTCTATCTCCCTTCGCAAGTCCCTCGCCGATTCTCGCTGCAACCCTCATGCCACCTCGCGGTCGTCCCACTCTCGTCGTTCTCGCTCCTGTCGCTTCCTCCTCTGTCGCGTCGGTCGCTCTCCTCTGCCTCGTTCGCGACGCCGCCGCCGCCTGCCGATCCCTTGCTCTCGCGGCCTCTCCCGCCTTTCGGCGCTCTGCCCAAAACAGCCGAAAATTCTTTTTTGCGCGGCGCCTCCTGGTCCCACGACGGGCCCGCATCTGTGGCATTTTTCAGGGTGAGACTCACCCTCTCTCCGTCGCCCTCCCCACGCCACCGCGGCCTCGACTCGCCACCCGCGCCGCGTCACCGTCGCCCCCACCGCGATCGCCCCCTCCCCGACGCGAGCAGGCGTGCGTCTCTCCGTCGTTGCCCCGCACCGGCGTCTTGCACAAAGGAGCATGGCGAGCAGCTCCCCGAGACGACCCAGCCTGAGCTCGCGCCTCTCCGGGCTCGCCGGGCTCGCCTCGAGCGTCGTCGAGAGCCTCGGCGCCGGCACCGAGGCCTTTGCGATGAGCGCGGCCGTGCGCGGCGAGATCTCGATCCTCGAGCGGCAGATTGTCGAGGTGAAGCAGGAGTTCGGGGTGAGCGCGTTCGAGCCGATGCTCGCCGGCGACACCGAGGCGACCCAGCGCCACTTTGCGCGCGCCTG